CTCCTTTAAAAAAACCACTTTAAAAAAGCCAAGCTAAGAAAAACCATCCACAAAAAAAAACCACCTGGCCAACCTCTTTTAGCCCCTATCTATGTGAAAATTCCACCTATCACAAGGAGGCAAAGCCAATCATCATGGTAATAAAACACACACAAGATAGGTAAATTTAAACCTCTATAGGGGAGAACTATAAAATAGAAGAAAGGCTGTCAAGAATTTGTAAAATAAGGTTTTAAAAGATGCATTTCAACAACTACAGCAGAAATTTACAAAACAGAAGCACATTGTTACACATTTTCTTCAAAAAGTGGTCCCTGGGTCTGCCCTCATGGTTTTAACAGCACACTGTACTGATAAGTAACAGCATCGCATCTCATCTGCTCACTCCTTCCTAATTAATTCAATGTAAAAGTATAACACAAAAAGAAATCTTTTTAAAAATCTCTTCTTCTAAAGTTTTTTTAAAAATCTAGCTTGGGCGGACAACCCTACTTCTCTATGTACTTGCCCATATCCTTAAACGTCGGTATATTTTACAATGTTGTCATTATTTATAAATATGAAAAATAGGGAGAATTTAAAAAACCTAACCTAAGCTTTTTTTTTCTCACCAGCCGTGCATTCCGTTCAATAAATGCTGAAAAGTATTGGCTCTGGTAGTGCCAATCCACACCCCACCCGGCTTGCGTTTTCGGGATTTACTTCCCCGGAGCTGGCTAAAGTCCCAGCGCTCGGAACCACACACCCGGGCCGCTGCGTTAACATCACTGCGCTGCGTACGCAGAAAGGTGGGAACGCGATAGGCAAACAGCCGAAGCAACTTGAAAAGAAACATCTTGCCTTCCAAGCATTGATTATCCACTTTCCCTTCCCCCAGCGCTCTATTAGCAAGGGACCAGAGGTTTCATTTCGCACTGCAAGCTGCCAATAAACTCCACGCAAATCTAAAGCGGTGGGTGCGCTCAAAGGTTCCCCGAAGGCTCCCTCCCGCGGCGGCTGGGGCTCGGTGTCCCGCGCCGGTGAATGGGCG